GAGAGAGAGAGAGAGACAGACAGACAGACAGACAAATGGGCAAGAGAGCGAGAGTGAATGAGTGTGTGAGTGTGTGTGTGTGCGTGTGTGTGTGTGTGTGTGTGTGTGTGTGTGTGTGTGTGTATGTGTATATATATAGTATATATATGTGTGTGTGTATGTGTGTGTGTGTGTGTCATCATTCTCCTTTCACCACACCGACTCCTTCCATTCTACTCCCCATCTTCACAGTTCCACCCTACCCATCCCCTTCCACCCCCTTCCCCTCCCTTCCACCTTTCCTTCCCCTCTCGTTCTTTTCCCCTTCCACCCCCCTTCCCCTCTCTTTCCTCTCCTCTCCTCTCTCCTGATGGTACATCTGTCTGTCTTTTCACTCTGCTTGCATTGCATCGATGTACCTCTCTTCACGTTTTAAGCCCAGTATTTATCATTTTGGTGACTTGCTCCTGAGAACGTTATCGTACAACTCAACAGCTCTTTTCTTATTGTTCATTAGGTACCCCTTCCACCTGCAATGTCATTATGTACGACTCCAACCACAGTCTTGACAAACACACCAGCTCCTCCATCGTGAAAGCCCACGCCTTCCTCACACGTAAGCACAGCTCGTTGGACTTGGCTGAAACGCTCCGCCCCTTTCACGCAACAGCCCCTTCCCCATTGGCGCTTAGAAATGCTTCGTCAATGACGTCACTATGTGAGAGTGGGGCTGGGGACAACAGTGGGACCCTAGCTTCCTCTGGTTACTTCACAGGAAAATCTTTGAGCAATTTCTCTCATAACTCTGCAGACAATTTTACTGATACGTACCATCAGCCAGCCAGACTAAATGAGGAAAACGATCTTGTTTCCAACACAAATCTCCGTTATTGTGATTCTGCCAGTGGGCCTGATGTTCCAGTAAAGTCGGAGCATAGTACGAGCGTCCGCCCGTCAGCTATTGGCGTTCAACATGATTCCTGCGAGAACAAGACTCTCCAGTCAGGAAATAACCCACACACGGGTGCACCCAGCCCATCTCTGCCTTCCCCAGATACCGAGCCACCTCGGTATCACAAAGACAGTGAATCCTCCAATCCACCCACTCAAACCATCCAACACTTGTCAGTCACGGACACAGATTCTGCCATGAGTTCCGCCCCTAGTCCTATGTCAACACCCACAACATCACGAACAGTTTTCAGTTCAGAAAAAGGCGGCGTCGAGACGAAGGTGAAGGACTCGGCCTACCAGACCAAACAGAGCTCTATGGAAGCGGAGTTTTTCTCTGATGCCCGCTTCAGGCGGCCGGTGCTGCCCATCAGGTACGGCGTTAGATATTCTCTTATTGGTGTGACCTCTACTCAACAGTTTATCTGTATCTCTGTTAAAAAGTATGGTTTGTGGGTTAACATTTGTTTGTCGCTACGTTTGTTGGATGGTAATCTTTAAAGGTGCATATTAATTGTATGCTTTTGTTCGTGTATGTGTGCGAGTGTGTGTGGGTTGGGGGGGGGGGGGAGGTTCTCCCAATCTTTCGAACAAGAATGTAATATTTATGATAATATGATTCCAAAATCGTACATCTAAAACTAGAAAAGACTATCTCGCAAAATAATCTTAGACCTTTTTCTTTGTACTTTGTACTTTGCAGTCAGCGATAGTCTTATCTTTTCCTTTGTAGAAGAAAAACTGAATATACGGAAAATTGTAGCCATTACTCTGGATAGTAGATGTGCATGTGTGTGTGTGTGTGTGTGTGTGTGTGT